CAAACGGGCGCTGGGGGGGGGGGTGCCAGGCAGATGTAAGGAACCATCAGTAGCCCCAGCCAAAGGCCTAGCAGAACATCTCTGCCTTCTGTTCCCTCTGCCAAAGACGCTCCCTGCAGACTCCACGACTGCTCTCCGTAGGGTGATCATCGACATTTCAAAGAGGAAGGAAATGATTCTAGACCATGGGGACTCCTCTCCTGACAGGGTAGAGTTGTCCGTGGTATTGGGGTGGGGATACGCACACACACACAGGTGAGGTGGATTGTAGTGGCACAAGCCATACATGCAAATGGCAGTCACATGCCGCTGTGCAGTTCCACATTTGGAAAAAGCCCTGTGAGGGTGGGGCAATTGTGTGGATCAGGATGGCTGATTTGCTGCACAGCTGGGGGGGGAGCTTTCTGCAAACGTGTGTCCCTGTGTGCCAGTGTAGTCTGTGGTGGGGAGGGGTTGTGGCTCAGAGCAGGAGCATCTGCTTGGCATGCAGAAGGTCCCAGGTTCAATCCCTGACATCTCCAGTTGAAAGGACCAGGCTGTCAGGTAGCCCTGTCAAAGAGTTGGAATGTGGAGGGGTGCACCTCCTCCTCTTCGTTCACAGCTCAGCCCTGTCTAGCTTCTGGCTGCTATCTCTGGCCTGACCTTGTTATTTCTCCCAGGTGCAAATTAACCGGCCTGGGAACCTTAAGGGCTTTGCGCTCAGCCGCTTGCTTGCTTGCTAGCTTCAGCCCACACGTGCGAAATATACTCATTGGCTTTGGCTTGGGGGCAGTGTTCCCTCTTAGCTGAGTTAGTGTGAGCTAGCTCACATTTTTTTTAGCCTCCAGCTCACACATTTTTGTCTCAGCTCAGGAAGGGATGGCTCCAGAGCAAACTAGGTTATGCAGTAGCCAAATGGCTCGCTCACAACTTTAATGCCGGGAGCTCACAAAGTAGATTTTTTGCTTACAAGACTTCACAGCTTAGAGGGAACATTGCTTGGGGGGGGGGAGTTTGATTATACTATAAGTCAGTGGCCATCATACTGCAGGTCATTCCTGACACAAGATGTATACTCGTTCTTTAGTTATGGACTACCAATAAAACACTTATCTTCTCAAGAAGCCTTTGTGTGTGGTGTGATCCTGCTAAGGGGCCTGACACAGGCAGGAGGAAAGACCTCTGCTGAAATCTTGGGAGAACTGCTAGGGAGGGGCCGTGGCTCAGTGGAATAGTCTCTGTTTGGCAGGCAGAAGGTCATGGGTTCAATCCCCACCCTCCTCTTTACTCTTTACGTCGGCCTCCTCCAATAATCACCAGGTAGGAGGTGATGTGTAAGGCCTCTGCCTGAGACCTTGGAGAGCCGCTGCCAGTCTGAGTAGACAGTACTGACTGTGATGGACCAAGGGACTGATTCAGTAGAAGGCAACTTCATATGTCCTTTTCAGGAGGTCAGGAGGTGCCTCCAGAGCGCAAGAGTGTCAAGCCAATCTTCCAGGAACCCCCTTTGTAGACATTGAGCATAACTCTTACTCTGAGCTGAATATGTTCTCAGTGATTATTGCACTGAAATACTGTGACGCCTCCTCGAGTCTTTTTAAGTTTACTGATACCCCTTCTCCCACCCCCGCAGGAGATTGGTTTGGAGAAAGCCGCCATGGACATGACCCTCTTCCTGAAGCTGCAGAAGAGAGTGAGGGAACTCGAGCAGGAGAGGAGGAAACTGCAAACCCAGCTGGAGAAGAAAGAGACTGAAAACAAGAAATCCCAGGTAGGAAAAACGGCACGTCGTTGCTATCAGTGTGGGTTAAAAATCAATAGTAGGCCTGTGACCTACTATTAGAAGACCACTGATGGACCATCCAGCTCAGTAAAAGAGGTAGAGACCCTCTTGCATCTCAAGTCAGAGAAGGATCTTTTCCGGCGTCTTTAACTGGAGGTGGTGGGGGGGTTGAACTTGGGGCCTTCTGCACACGAAGCATGAGAGCCATTGCTGAGCCACAGCTAGGTGTCAGGCTCCCAGTCAAGTCACTCTCAACAACTCTCTCTTGGCAGTGATAAGTTTATTGAGATGTAAGCATGCTCCAGAAAGTCACTGTGTTAGAACTAAAGACTTTTGGCGGGTACAAGCTTAATGTTGGTAATTCGAATAAAAGCCCCTTCCTTCCCCCAAGCCTACGTCACTCATTCACGCCACACCTAGCGTTGCCATCTCAACCAAGTGAAAGATGTATGTCTTGGTCATCTCCTGCTCAAGCTGGTCCCAAAAGCTTCTCAAGGACACCTCACCCTGGGAAAGGGAAAGGAGGTACACCTTGCGAGAAACGTTCTGACTTCTACAAGCCAAGGTCCCACTCTCTCACTCATTCACTCAACTCCCCTCCCCGTAGGAATTCCCTCCCCCCAATAACCATAGCAACCAACGTGAGTGAAGTAAAGCAAAGTTTGACACTAGGCTTGCCAGCCCCCAGGTCTGGGCGGGGCATCCCCCGGTTTCAGGGGCTTCTCCCTGCCGCAGACCAGCTGGCCGGTGGGGGAAACCACGCCCCTAAACAGGGATGTCGTCATGTGACATCTCTGACACAATGACATCACCCGGAAGTGATGTCATCACGTCGGGAACGTCGTGTGGGGACGCGCTGGTAGTTGGGCAAACTCTATGATTTGAGGGCAGAAAAACCATAAAGTTTTGACCAAATACCAGCGCATCCCCAATGCAACATCCCCGCCCACCCCCGGAACACTCCTCCAAATTCCCCAGCCAGAGCGACGAGGGGACCTGGCAACCCTCGCCACAAACTCTGCCCTGTTCAGAGTCCGTCTGATTGGTAAATCCATTAATAATTACGCCACTTTATTCTGTCGCCGGCCCTCCCTTGGCCGGAAGAGAAGCTCTGAATCGATGGAATGTGCAATCAATGGAGGAATGATTTATCTCACTCGTAGGGTTAATTGGCCTGGCAGCGATTGTGTTCCAAGCTGTCATGTCTCCAGAAGCATCATTGATTCTCTTTCCCAGGCCGGTGGGGACATTGGAGGCCTGAATTAAAGTCTTGACGACTTGAAGGCAGCGAGGGAAAAGGCCGCCATTGTCTTGAACGTCTCAGCCTGTTGCGCAAGGCACAGCCGATGAAACGTGACTTGTAAATGACCGGAAATATGCAGTTTCCTCCCCCAAGGGTGTGGGTTGCAAAGAATAAGTGCTGTGTAGGATGCCTCCTTAACTATGGAGGCCCAGGTCACAAATATTGCCAAACTGGCGTTTTTCCATCTACGCCAAGTGCAGCAACTGGCCCTTTTCCTGTCGCGCCCTGACCTAGCCACAGTAATCCATGCGACGGTCACCTCCAGACTAGACTACTGTAACTCACTCTATGCAGGCCTTCCCTTGAGACTGACCCGGAATCTTCAGCCGATCCAGAATTATTATTATTGTTGTTATTATTATTCATAATTAAATTTCCATCCCGCCCTCCCGCCGGAGCGTCTCAAGGCAGCTTACACACAACTTTAAAACCAGCATAAATATATATAAATAAACGGCGGCACGAGTCCTGACGGGAATGCCAAGGACAGCACATATACAACCTGTGCTGCGCCAGCTATGCTGTCTTCCAATGGAGTACGGAGTCAGATTCAAGGTGTGGGTACTGACCTTTAAGGCCTTGTGCAGTCTGGGACCAGCGTATCTCCAGGACTGTCTCCTCTGGTACGTCCCCGGGAGAGAATTGCACTCTGCTGAGAGCAATGTGCTGGTGATCCCTGGCCCCAAAGATATCCGGCTGACTTCGACCGGGTCCAGGGCTTTCTCGGCCCTGCCCCCGACCTGGTGGAACTCTCTACCGACTTCCATCAGGGCCCTGGAGGATCTGATGCAATTCCGCAGGGCCTGTAAGGCAGAGATGTTCCGCCAGGCTTTTGTTTGAGGACAGCAGCGTTTTTCCATCATAGTCGGCACCCTCCTCTTTACTCCTACTCTGCCTGCGTCGGCCTCCTCCAATGACCTGCCCGTGAGCTGGGAGAACAGTCCAGAGGAGGTTCTTAAGATAAATTATAGATGCCAATAGTGTTCCCTCGAAGCTGAGTCAATGTGAGCTAGCTCACAGTTTTTTAGCCTCCGGTTCACACATTGTTGTCTCAGCTCAGGAAGGGATGGCTCCAGAGTAAACCCATTTATGCAGCAGCCAAATCGCTCGCTCACAGCTTTAATGCCAGCGGCTCACAAAGTAGAATTTTTGCTCACAAGACTCCGTAGCTTAGAGGGAGCATTGGCCATCTGGAGATTGTGAAATTAAGATAAAGTGTTTATTGATTTTAATCTGTATTTTTGAACGTTTTAATCTGTTGTAAAGCGCCCAGAGCTCTGTGTACTCAGGGATTGGGTGATTCAGAAATCTAAATGATGATGATGATGATGATGATGATGATGATGATATCATCATCATATCATCATCATCATCATTATAGTAAGAGGGTTAGAGCCAGTATTGCCAAGAAGAGAGCGTTGAAGGCCCAGGAAATTTTGGATCCTCAAGCTAGGAGCGGACCATAAAACAGCTAAAGGGATGGAATCCCACAGTTTAAAAAACTTGGCAACACTAATGTTTAGGACTAGTGCTTAAAGGAGAGTAAGGTAGGCGCCGCATGAACCTCAATGGGGCAGAAATTCCAAAGGCGAGGTGCCACCACCGAGAAGGCCCAGTCTGGCTTTCCCTGCCTGGCCTCTGCAGACAGGGGCATTGAGAGCAGGGCTTGAGAAAAGGATCTTACTTGGGGGGGGGCAGTATGGGAGGAGGTGGTCCTTAAGGTACCCCAGCCCCAGTCCTCGTACTTACAAAAGTTAAAGTTACCTATTTCACAAGCTTCAGAGGATTAGCCGTGTTAGACTGCTGCAGCCAAAATTACCTTAAATGTTGACAAACGGATTATGGTGTAAACTGGGGTTCCCCAACCCCTTTCAGCCTGTAGGCATATTTGGAATTATGACGCAGCCTGTAGGTGCATTTGGAATTATGACGCAGCCTGTAAGTGCATTTGGAATTATGGCGCAGCCTGTAGGTGGCAGCTGCCGCCAAAGCAATATTTTTTTAAAAAATAATCTGTACAGCCAGTCAAATCTCAAATAGTCAGTGGACATGCTGGACAAAAGCTCTACCTGGCTCCAACCACTTCTGAAAATGAAGAAGAGAAGAAGAAGAGGACGAGAGCGGATTTATACCCTTCCCTTCCCTCGGAGT